CCCGCCCCAAGCAATGCACCGAGTGAGCTGGGTGGTATCTATGTAGACCAGACAAAGTCTTATATATTTTTTACATCTTGTGTTTAATCAGGGACTCTAAATAACTCTAGACAACATACTCGTTTCTTACACGGAATGTGTACCAGGACATTACGAAATCAGAACAACTATGGATTTAATTTTGTTATATCGGCCTCCCTTGGACAACAGCCAAACACTCCCGGGACCCAGAAAAAAATTTTCAGGAACAATGTCTACACTATGAGGTTTCATTAAACTAAGGTTAGCTCAACTCCAGTCATGTCATTCGACTGCACCTTTCTTGCTTCAGCTTCAGCGAGTTATCCAGTCTAATATATTATAGTTATAAGAGTTATTATATAGTTATTCTACGTGCTTCAGAAAATTGTTAGGCACGAGAGGGACAAGGGGGTGTTCAAGCTGTCTGTTTCCAATTTCCAGCACCTCACCTTATAACACTATTTTAGGTTAATGTTTTACACGCGAACACACACACACACACATACACACACACACACACACACACATATATATATATATATATATATATATATATATATATATATATATTTCCACACACATACATACGTTTATATACATTCATACAGCAACAATTGTTAAATACATTCAGCACAACATATGTTGTTGTATGCATGTGTATGTTTATACACGCACACACACACACACACACATATTTATATATATATATTTTTTTTTCTTATATATATATACACACACACACACACACATTCAGTACAACCATATTTAGATACATTTATATACATTGAATTCAACATCCATATTTATATACATTCAGTACAACGTCCACCTTTTTACAGCTGTAAGAGAATATTCACACCTTAGTACAACCATTGTTTACGTTTACATTTAGTTTTGAAAGACTAATTCAGCGGAGAGTGAGCAGATGTTTTTGAAGGTATACAACACTGAAGGGGAAAGGGGGGGGGGGGGACAAAAAGGCGGATTTTGTTATTAAGGTGACAGCTGGTACTTTTAGCATTTCTACTCTTCGTTTACTACTAAGGAAAGAGACTGAGCACTCTGGGAATGTCCTGAGTACAAGGATGACAATTAACTACATTCAGCTGTCTTGGGAAGATAGAGCTAGTGGACCAGCGTGACTTGCTATTGTCTTTCCTTGCTCATGAACTATGTCTTTTATGCTGTTAAGTCCAACATATTATTGTGTGCCATCTTGCTCTTGTATCAGATCTCTTTTGACGTAGCTTCTCTGCTGGTAACTGACAATGCTTTATTCTAGCGAAATGTCCAAACCCTTTCATCTTCTGTTACTGTCTGCATTTATTGCCTTTATCTACTTTTTTTTTTATGGCTGTGAATCCTGTACAAAAAATTAACAAGCCAAACAATTTCTTGAGGCCCCATAAATGTTTGTTTTAGAGAATTCCTTAGACAGCCACAAAGAGTAGCCTGGATGTTCTGGGAAAAAAAGACAGGAGTTTGAATTAACTTATCACAAACATGAGAAAGAGTACTCATCATTGAAAAGGAGGAAATCGGGACATATTGTGACCACTAGAAATATTTGTGGGGGGGGGGGGGGGGAAGAGGGTGGAAGACAACTGGAGAAGATTCTTGACAGTTTTGTCATCGCATGGAAGAGTGTCAGCACACGAACTCATACACAATGTTAGAGATCGCAGGTTGTGGAAAGGCATGATTACCCACGCCAATCGACCAGTCACTTGATGATGACGATTTGCTGCCTATAGTGCCATATAAGACGGGAGGAGGAAGATGAAGGGGTGTCTTGGGCCTAAGGGGTTTCGGGTCTGGTGGTTAGTGCAGCTTCCACCAACTGGAAGAGTTAGGCAGTCCTGTGACGTAGATTTTCTCAGTACGATGCAAGTCTTCGAAAAAGGTAAAGATCCCTTTTCAGGCATACAGAAAGAGCACCTATATTTTAAAAGATCAATCGGCACTAGGTGGGTAATGTGGACAGCATTACGCTGGCCGTCGTTACTTCCCCAGAACATACATCCTGGTACCCATTTTAGGCTGGGTCGACCTGCGACGCCCTATCACCATCATCATGATGTGCACTGCCAACTGGCGTATGCGTTCATGTATCTCCACAGATCACGATCCTTGGCTGCCTGAAACAGCTCTTTTGATGATATCCCTCCATGCCATCGTTCAGCCCATCCAGCATCGTCTCTCTTGGTCTGCCTCTACCCCTTCTTTCCACTGATCTTTCCAGTTGTCACGATGTTTTCCAGCCTCTTTTCTCATTACGTGGCCAAAAAGAACAGTGTTTGTCTCCTTCTTATTGTTGTATACAGAGATCTACTTTCATTAGCTTCTTTCAAGCAATGGTTGTTAGTTACTCTGGCCCAATGTATTCGTAACATTCGTCTCAGCAACAACATCTCTGTTGCTTCCAGATTCTTTTTAATTTGATCACTGACATTCCAAGATTCCCTGCCGTACAACAGAACAGGTTCTGTTCCATACCATGATAAAAATCCACGCAGCCAGCTGTGGGTTTCGATCGCAGTATACATTGGAATTACGAGTCGGACTTGCAACGTCTAAGTGACGGACGCAAAATGCCTCTTCTAATATCTTCGCCCTGTCAGATCAAAAGTTTAAACTGTATTTTGATTTCTCTGCTTATGCCCCCTCTCCCTTTTTTTTTTTTTTTTACTACTTTACGGTGCCTCCTTATACGACCGCTCTGTGTATCATATGACTGCACTGACCTGAGGTTAGGATATTTATGCCCCCACACTCCTCCCCGACAAAAACAAATCATCTGTCATCTTACCAGTTATTCGACCCGGGTCTCCTCTATAAGTATCAAGCTGAAACTTTGCTATTGCATGCCTTGTACTATTATTTATCTGCAGGGACTATCTTTGCGTCATCGAAACAAAAGCCGTAAAGTTAACCATGCAGCCCTCTTTACAGAACAGTTGGCCTTGGAAACTCAGACATATGCGGAAGTTCATATGGAGTCTACAAGCAGAGATGTGGGTAAGATAATACAACAGACGCTTGTTTGTTATACTTTTTGAGTTGTCTTCACGGCCCTCCGGACACGTCCATCATCATAAATACGCAGTCTCTTTAGAAAACGTCGCTCCCGTCACGGAAAACCTGAATGTCTCTCTCTCTCTCTCTCTCTCTCTCTCTCTCTCTCTCTCTCTCTCTCTCTCTCTCTCTCTAGCCACTTCTCCAACCCTATGTGCTTTCATAGACAGTGCATGTTCAATGTCTTGTACCCACCTTCGAGGAGTTTTGCCAAATTTTCTGGGACTGTATTCTCCATCAACGCTCTCTCCTGTCCACAATGACATTTAGCACGGCCAAAACTCGTCAGCTTTTAGGGCACACCCATGGGTTCTCATACTCTCTCTCTCTCTCTCTCTGTCTCTGTGTGTGTGTGTGTGTGTGTGTGTGTGTGTGTGTGTGTGTGTGTGTGTGTGTGTGTGTGTGTGTGTGTGTGTGTGTCTCCAGCATTTACAGTCAGCGTCCGACAGTTAATCGTATAAGTCCTATGGTTGTTGACAAGACTTCTAGTATATTCGATTTACCTCTAGTGCCGGGCTGTGTCTACCTCTACTCCAAATTTTATCTGTTGTCGATGCAATGTAGACACTGGCCATTTTCCTGCGTCGCTTCTCTCTCTCTCTCTCTCTCTCTCTCTCTCTCTCTCTCTCTCTCTCTCTCTCTCTCTCTCTCTCTCTTTTATATATGTATATATATAAATATATATATATATATATATATATATATATATATATATATATATATATATATCACTAACTCGCCCGATAAGGGCATGAACAAGAAAGACCATTGAGTTTTATGTCGTATAGATATCATCAACATATATATGCAAACAAGATATGCCAGCTGGCATAGACGTTTATGCATCTCCACAGATCTCGGTCTGTGGTGTTCTGGATCAGTTCCACTGAAGATATTCCTCCATGCCACTGTCCCAAGCCATCCACCATAATTTCTCTTGGTCTACCTCTGCATCATCTACCAGTGATCTTTCCAGACGTCACGATATTTTCCAGTGCTCCTTTTCTCATCACATGACCAAAGAACTTTTTTTGTCTCCTTTTCATTGTTGTATATAATGTTCTACTCTCTTTAGCCAGTTCCAGGCAATCATTGTCAGTACAGCTATAGCTTTGCAATTTACTGTTTCTTTGACAAAAAGTAATCGTAAAGGAAAAAGAAAACAAGATAATGCCATTTTTATGGGAAATGTTTGGAGATCACACATTCTACACCAGGAGGTCTGTGCTGTCCAATATTATAGGAGTGTTAGAGTTTGAAACAAACAACAACTAACTCTAACAATAGCAGGCGGCTAACCGTTCTGCGGAAACAAAAACAAGCTATATGGGATAACACTGTGCACTGAAGTCGATTCTTTCTTTAACTTTTAGCTGTTATTCGCATTGAGTGTCTATCCAGTGTAACATGTGGAGTTAATACTTGTTTTTTTACACGACGTATAGTTTCTTTTTCTTCTTCTTTTTCTTCTTCTTTTCCTTTTTCTTCTTCTTCTATTTCTTCTTCTTTTCTTTGTGCACCAGCTTTTAGCTCCGGCAGAAAGTCCTGTTGTTCGTCCAATTGGACTTTGGGTTTGTGACGGCCTGAGTTTTGTGTATACATATCCGTTTTACTGGTTTATTTCTGCAATAGTTTTTTTTTTCGTCTTGCCGCTTGAATCTTAGCAAATTAGTCGACTCCTACGACATGCTTGTTGGGGAGGCAGTGGGTCTATTCTTGTTTTCCCCAGGAATCCGCACGAGAGACATGGTTTGAGATAAAAGCTTTTAAAAAGGTGTGTGTGTTGATTTCAGATGTGTTATAGGTTGGGTTTATGTATGTATATATAATAATTTATTTTATATTATTGTGAATTTATTGTCTACAAACAGCACAGGAGAAACAACAGTATCTATGTCCTCTAGATGACTGCACTTCACCAGTTGCTATGGAAACAGAAAGCATGAACTTGCTGGAAATCTCCAAACCCTGGATTCCAGAGAATGTTCTCGACATCGATGCCTGCCCTGACTCATTGACTACTAGTGTCTACTCCAAGGACATCATGGTGTATCTCATGGTCAGTTGATCTGTATGTAGGTCCAATAGGCCACTGTCCTGGCAAAACACACCATTTAAAAATAACCAACATTAGAATATGCAAAGCGTGTGTGCATCTTGTATCGTTATAATCATAATCATCATCGGCATTATGTTGCCTCATCATAGTTTACATGGGGATCACGGTCTTTTTGTTTATTCTGTTCCGCTTTTTGAATAAGCACTTTTTAATCATTGACAGCGGTGTTGGAGTTGTGCACGGGCGGATTGGGAGGGATGAGAACTTCCCTATGTAACCCCTGAGGAGAAACTAGAATATTAGTTAGATGTGTATGTGTCATAAAACTGATGTTAACAAATTTAACAACAGTTAACAGTATGCAAGTGTGTCACGGGATGACCGCATGATAAATTAACTATAAGCATCTTCTTTAAGAACATTAGGATTATCTTATGGCAGAAGGTTTACAAGAACCTTATATTAAATGTGTTGTCTTCTTCTTCTTCTTCACTTCCTCTTTTACCGCTGTGGGTGTCGAGGGAGATATAAGGTTCTGTTTCTAGCTCTTCTGGCCGCCTCGACCATAGGCACATCGTGCTGTTGTAGAGTTTATCTGATGTTATCCTTCCATATTGTTCTTGGTCTACCTCGTGCTCTACATCCTTCTTCTCTTTCCATGTAAGCTTTGTATGGTATGGTGTCACAAGGCATTCTCTCTTAAGTGGGCAAACCATTTCACTTGCTGTCTTCGTATGTAATTTAGAATTGGTTCTGTGCCGACTTTTTCTCTTATGATCTCATTCCTGATCTTATCTCTTATGGTCACGCCCACAGCCGTTCTCAGACATCTCATTTCCATGGTTACTTATTTTCTTTTATGGTTTGTTGTGAGTGACCATGCCTGGCACTGGTAGCACAGAGTTGGAATAAATATGCTTTGAATAAGATGTCTCTTTGTGCTGATTGGGATTGTCTTATGCTGTAAGAGGGAGGCTATCTGTCCCAATACTTGGTTTGCTTTATTGCATCTGATGTTAATTTCTTTATCCAATTTCCCATCTTCGGTAAATGTAGTTCCCAGATATTTAAATTCAGATTCCTGTTTAATGCCTTTGCACTCTATTGCTATGTTTAGATCTGTCTTCTTTTTTTCTATTGACATTACTTCTGTCTTTTCAGTGTCTATTCTCATATTATTTGTTTTACATTCTTCATTCATGGATGTTAGATGTTGTTGCAATTTCATGGCTATATCTGCTATCAAGGCCTGGTCATCTGCAAAGAGTAATTCGTTGATCTTACTTACATTTTCATTCATGGGCTTGGCATTCTTGCATATACTGTCGATGTTGGTGATAAACCGCAGTGGTGATAAGACACACCCCTGTCTTACTCCAGATGTTACTGTGAACGGATGAGATGTTCCCTGATTTATTCTAACTACACTTCTACAATCCCTGTATAAACTTTTGCACACTTCGATGAGGTGTTCGCTTACTCCATATCTTGCCATTACTTTCCATAATAATTGTCTGTCGACTCTGTCAAATGCCTTCTCCTGGTCTACGAATGCCACAAATAAGTTCTTATTGTATTCAATGTTCTTTTCTATTAACTGTTTAAGTGTGCAGATTGCATCTGTGCAGCTTCTATTTCTCCTAAATCCCATCTGTTCTTCTGCCAGCTGTGGTTCTATCACTGGTCTCAGGCTTGTTTCTATTATCTTGGCATACATTTTGCCAACATGGCTTAAAAGAGAGATGCCTCGGTATTGACCGCATTCTCGTTTGCTTCCTTTGTTCTTCCACAATGGTATAACTTATGCATGTTGCCAATCAATAGTGGCAGTTTGTTGTACCCATGCTGCATTAAATATTCTGTGAAGCCATCTGATGCTGCTTTCACCTGCTGTTTGCATTATTTCTGTTGGTAATCTATCAGCTCCTGGTGCTTTATATTTGGGAGACTGCTTAATGACTTTTTCTATTTCATCCATTTGTATGTGTGGTTCTAACACCGTTGCTCTGTGCTCTTCAGTTGTTCCTAGAGGATTAAAGAGCTCATTGAAGTATTCCCTCCATCTTTCTGCTATCTCGGGTGGATCTATCAATGGCCTTCCTGTCTTATCGTTAATTCAGTCAGGTTGTAGCTCTCATCACTTTTCCGCATATTTTTAACTACTTTGAAAAATTTTCTGCTGGCTGTTTTCTCATTTTCTGCTAGTGACTCACCGAAACGTTCCCAGGATGCTTGTTTTGCTTTCTTGACACTCCTGTTGGTTTCTCTCCTTTGCAGTCTATAGTTTATATAATCTTCTTCTTTCTTTGATTTTATCCACTGTTTATATAAGTCCTTTTTCCTTTTAATTGCGTCTTTTACTTCTTCGCACCATCAAGGTGAATATTTGTTATTTCCCCGTCTGTTTCCACTCTTCCATTTTCCACATAATTCTTCTGCAATACTAAGCATAGTGTTTTCATATTTACTCCAATCTTCCTCAATATTGCCAACTACATGTGGAAGTTATTTGCTGTCTCTACTTTCTGTTGTAACTGTTCTTTTACTCATTCCTGTTTCAGATTTGCTATCTTGATGAGATCCTTGTTTTTGGTTAATTTCTTTCTGTGTTTCTTTAAGATGTTTTGCTGTTAACACAAGTATTTTATGGTCAGTGTCACATAGACCATTAGGGGTTGCACTTGAATCAAGAATTCACCTTCTTCCTTGAACTCTGGTAAGTATAAAGTCAATCTAGCTCTTGATGGAGACATTATTCCATTTGTACCAAGTGTAAAGTTGTGAATCTCTATGGTCAAAGAATGTATTCGTAATAAAAAGATTGTGCTGGCTGCATAGATCCAATATTCTTTGACCATTTCCATTTCTATCACTGTTCTTAGCTGCATGTGGACCTAAAAACTGTTCGTATTCTCTTCTGTTATTTCCTACCCTCCCGTTGAAGTCACCCATTACATATAGTATGCTGCTTCCCTCAACTTTCTCTATCTCATCAGACAGATAGTCAAAGAATTCATCTTTCTGCTCTTCTGTATAATTATCATTGCATGGTGCATTTAACTGTATGTATGTTTCAACTTGTTCTCCTCTTTTAATTTTCAAAGTAATAATTCTATCTGAGTGATAATGTATGTCTAATATGTAGTTAGATATTGATCAGTCCTTTTATATCTCATTGTGTTTTCTGTCACTTAGATCATTTAGTCTGTCTGTTTCATGGCGTCTTGTGTCTGTTTAATATCACTTTGTATGTCTGTCTCACAGCATTTTGTAGGTATGTCTCATATCCCCTTATATGTCTATCTCATAACATCTGTCTGTCTGTCTGTCTCAATATTGTCTTTCCGTCTTACATCATCTTGTACGTCTCTCTCAAATCCCCTTGCATGTCTGTCTCAAATTGTCTTGTCTCATTTCCAAGAGAAACTCTAGAATAACCATCCATGGGAAAGGCAAGAGGTGCTTGATTTGAATCCATTTATGATTCCGAACAAGTTACACAGTATAGAATCGATTAGAGAAATCGATGGAGATCTCTCTGTGACGTTTAAACGACACACCTGCATAGTGACGAGATCTCTCTGTGACGTTTAAACGACACACCTGCATAGTGACGAGATCTCTCTGTGACGTTTAAACGACACACCTGCATAGTGACTGACTTATTGACTGATATATTTGTGAATATTTGTAGTGTCTATGTTTGCCTGATACCATAAATTGTATACACACAGGAGAAAGAACTACGTGATCTCCTCTTGCCTGATTTTCTGGCCAACAGCCCGGGAGTCACTTCCAGGATGAGAGCTGTTCTCATGGACTGGCTCATGCAAGTCCAGGTAAATGGCTAATGTGTTTAATGGATTTGCTTAGTTCAGTCATAGAGAGCTGATTACAATGAGCAATGGGCGCAAAATCATAACAGGGATGCGATGTAGAAGAGCTGCGACGCAACGATAAGAGATTTTTGGAAACAAAACTAGCTAAAGACTAGGGCTTAAATTCATCATACAGTTCATTAAAGAACAACAGATAAGATTCCTAAGTCTTTGAGAGAATGCACTGGTAGCTGCTAACGCTGAGAGTCAGGATGAATAAATACAATGCACAGAGCACATGGTGAAACCCACGCAAACGTGGAACGTCGGCATCAAGAACAGCATTAAAGAAATGAAGATCAATTTATGCCTCCCCTAAAGAAAGGGCACACAGAAGATCCTTACAACCCACCTCAACATCTCGATGGAGTAACTGCAAGAGCATACGATGAAGAGAATAGTGATTTGCAGTGGAGAATCATTGTCTGCGTATTTAATTATTTTTGACTACCTCGTGCCAGTTGTAAATACACAGAACAGTTGGCACTCGATGAGTAGGGTCGTCAGTAAACTAGTCCTCTTCTTTGCTGACGTCATACCCATGTAGATATGGACCTGAAATGTGTATAAAAGGTCCATTTCACGTTTCCCGGCCATTCTACACACTTACTGACCTTTCATTCGTACTTTCTCAGACTGTTCTACGTCAGAGGCGTGTCACGTTGTCCTGCCTCCAAATACATCAGCGCCGATGTTGGGTGCATTTTTCGTTTTTTTGAAGCCCCACCCTGGCTATTGCCAGGGGCCGTGATATAGCCTAACGGTTTGAACGCGTTTTCTGGGCCTCTCAACTGGTGATCCTCATCCTCATGGTGGCACTTTGTGTCACTGGGTGTTTATCGTTTTGTGTGATGTCCTGGTGGGGTAAAATTTACTTACTTACTCTTCAGTGAATACACTGCCTAGGTATTTGAGCATTGGCTTGTTTTAATTCCATTCGTTCAACAGTGATGACCTGGTTTATATTTACTGTCATCTTTTCGCGGGGGGGGGGGGGGAGTGGGGGGGGGGGGGGGGGGGGTGTTTTGATATTCTGTCTTTTGCATCAAGTGTTGAAGCTGTTTATGTGATGCTGGATATTTTCCTTATCTTTGAAGAATATTAGTAAATATCAGGTAATGTTTTGCAATAGGTACTGAAGCTGTTTATATGATATTGGGTGTTTTCCTTATCTTTGCTTCTCATGTTTTAAAGTCCAACTGGCATTTGTTGGGTGATGTTGTCGACATCACTGTGGTCGTCTTTACTTCCCATGACCTGGTACCCATTTCAGACGGAGTAAACTTCAGAAGCCAAGACTGACTGTGAAAAAAAATCCGTCACAGTGACTATAAGAACCTTCGCGCCATCAGACAAGTATCTAGCCACTACACAACTGCCTCTCCCAAACAGAAGCTACTGAGCTGAACTGCTTTAAACTGAGGCTTGAGTTAGAAGAAGAACAGAGTACTAATGAGTTATACTCGTGTACCAAGATGTTGATCTGATAATTAAACCAATGAAACAAACCAAACAAAAGCTAACATTGTGAATGTTGACCTTGTGTTGCAGCTGTTTGAAGAACTGACTGACGAGACGCTTCACTTGTGTGTGGCATTCATCGACACTTTCCTCAGTCTTGTCGATGTCAAAATGTCAACACTCCAGTTAATCGGCATAACTTGTTTGTTTATCGCCTCCAAGTTCAATGAGCGATTCGCGCCAAAGGTGAGCTCTGTTAACTTGAAAATACTTCTTAATACTTCTTACTGGTTGCGTCGTGTTTGTGTGTGTCCCCCCCCCCCCCTTTTTTTTCAGTGTTATTTCCCCCCCCCTTTTTTTTAGTGTTTATTCCCCCCCCCCTCTTTTTTTCTTTCGTGTGCCCCCCCCCCCCTCCCCCCAGAACAGCGGTTGGCACGTTGTGTTTTTGTTTGCAGCAATGCCTTTTAGCCCATCACCTTCGATCTCTAGAAAGCCCTAACTGATCACAGCTTAGGTCAAGCTTGTAAAAGGGATATGGGCCTGCCACCATCCCCACCCTTCCCCAGTGGCTCCCGATACCTACACAAAGAATTATACACACACTTACACACACACATACACACACACATACACACACGCACTTGCACTCACACAGAGGAACAGACACATATGTTTGGTGTCATACAGCTATCTCTACACATGCTGCCAGGACAATTTACCTATGCATGTTTAATAAAGCAATCGTAATTTATTGTAATATCTATATTTCTATATAGACTTACAGTTCAGTTTTCATATTTACATAATGAAAGGACCATAAATCGTTAATGTAATATCTATATTTCTATATAAACGTACAATTCAGTTTTCATATTTACATAATAAAAGGACCATAAATCGTTATTGTAATATCTATATTTCTATATAAACGTACAATTCAGTTTTCATATTTACATAACGAAAGGACTATAAATCGTTATTGTATTATCTATACTTCTATACAGATCGAAAGTCTGTGCTACCTGACACAGGACACATTTGTGAAGGAGCAGGTGCTACACTGTGAGCGTATAGTCCTGCAGACACTTCACTTCAACCTGTCCCGCCCTGTTTCAGTGACATTTTTAGATCGTTACCTTCAGGTACACCATAACCCCACAAAGGTAAGACAATAATAAAGTTTCTTAGTTTTATATTGTTTTACATTACATATGTCAAGTAAAACCTGCATTTGATTTAGCAGAGATTGCAGTAGAGACAGCGGAGTGATAACACAGAGACAAACCTACAAACCTGTGAGGTTTTTCCTCTCTTCTGTTCATCTTTTAAGCTTCCGGTGTCGAAGGATATATAAGGTACTGGTTCTTGCACTTCTGCTCGACTCAGTCTAAGACAGCTGATCCTGTGTCGATTTTCTCTGATGTTTATTTTCCATCTTGCTTTTGGTCTCACTCTCGCTCTACGCTTCTCTCTTTTGATATACGCCTTGTATGGTATCGGAACCCTCATGGTTTAGCAGCTAAACACTCGCCTATGGATCTCGAAGGTCGTGAGTTCAAATCCCTATAGAGCCGGATTTTTTTTTCAGACATTACCTTGGCTCTCAGGTCGACCTAGCCTTAAATGGGTACCAGGTCGAAGTAAAGGTGGTCGGTACGATGCTGACCAAGTTTACCTATCGAGGTTTATACAAATATGAGACTAGGGTGAGATGCCCGATGCGCCACTGGCATGTAAAGGTACATTTAATTTATTTGTATGGAATGACGTAATAAGGCCTTCGCTGTGAGTTGGCTTTTTTGTATGTAGTTTAGTATTGATTATAAACTGAATGTTTCTGTAATGACTTTACTTCCCATTTTATATCTTTTGGTCACTTCTGCAGTCTTCCTCTTGCATCCCATTTCCTCTCATCTCATTTGTACTATTATTTTCTTCATAGATAACAATATTCCTTTTAATCCATAATTTTTCAGAAGTCTCCAAAATAATTCTCCATTTACTATATCAAAATCCTTCTCTTGATCTACGAAGGAAACATCTATTTCGTGTCTGTGTTCTATTGTCTTTGCGCTGATTTGTTTTAGGTCAAGTGACAATTTCATTAATTTGAGTCGTTGTCATAGGAGCCCCAACACTCTAGTTTGCCCAGGGGCCTATAATTGCTGCTAAGACAGCCGGGGTGGGGATAAAATCTGCAAATGGGCACACTTTTCAAGTGCTTAGGACATCCACGAGTGTAAATCCGGCCCTGCGTTGAGCTATAACCGGCGACCAACAGTAAACAACTGCAGCGACAGAAGCAAAGTCAGGCTTACAGTCCATACATAACAGGGGCGACAAATCTAAAGCATACATACTGCAATGAATTGTTTATCTGTTCTTTACACAGGTGGAGTACCTGGCTCGCTACCTGTTAGATCTTCACATCACCAGCATCAGCCTGGCATCCTCGCCACCCTCGTTGAAGGCATCCAGTGCTCTTTATCTCGCACGTTTTCTCCTATTAGACACAGCCCCTGCCTGGACACCAGACCTCGCCTACTATACGAATTACACGGTTGAAGAATTACAAGACTGCGCCAACGAACTGATTAATCTCTTGATCAAAGCACCTGATTCCAGATACCAGGTACACTTTCCCTAAGTTTTACACATCCAGATTTACATTCTGTGGGATTCTAATTCTTCTTCGCGTTCACCGGCTTTAAACATTGAGGCTCTACAAAAAGGTAACCAAGCAACCTGTAACCCAGTGTCGGTGGGTTTGATTTGACCAGGTAATTAGAGAAAGATATGTGCCTGCGAGCAATCGGGTTGTCCTAACAGGCCTGCTACCAAAGGTTTACCATACTACCCTGAGATTTACAAATCCCAATCTGGACTGCAGAACAACAAGGCAGATCACAGAGAGCTCGTTCAACTCCCAAAGAAGTTATAATTAAGCTACCTGTAACGTCTAGACAAGTTAAATGTATCTTGCAATTTGCAGTCTTATGCGGTTAAGGAAGTCGCCAGCGTCTGTCTTGGCTTTCTTTGCGGAAAGAAGAACATTCGTCTGGTTAAACCAGCTTTCCTAAAGGGGGACCTTTAGGTTATAATTGTGACTAGGTTTAAGTGCGGCATATAAAATGGCATAGAATTGCTCGTCACTCGCCAAGTACCGTGAAAAGGACTCATGCAGTGTTGATGTGATTAGAAGAAACAGACCCAAATAATGTCCCAATCGACGACGAAGTCGTCTACTGGCCAGCCAGTGGGTGACCCGGTGGCCAATTTCGAGGGTCTCTGTGTGTGTTTCTGCTTTTTATAGTCTAGGCTATGGGAAGGGGCAAAGAGTAGGAATTAATGATCATGTCTGTCTACAATCTTGTGTCTCGTATACTGTGAATCATTTCTGATACAGACGTTAATATAATCCATGAAAATTAACTGCACAACATATTTTCTCCTTCTCTCCTACTTCGGGAAGCCGCCATGGTAAGGCAGCTAGACGCTCGCTTCAGGCTCCGAAGACCGGGGGTTCTAATCGCAATGAAGCTGGTCTCTTTCCAAAAATGACTTTGGCTCAGAGGTTGACTTAGGGTTGAGTCCGTACCAGGTAAACTCCTTGGAAGTAAAAGCGGCCGATGTGATGCTGACCATATCAGCCAATGAGTGCTGATTGGTCTATAAACTATAGATCTAGTACTATATGCCTAATACACCTTAATGTTCCTTTACTTGTTTTACTTTATCTTCTACCTCTCTTTTCCTCCAACGTTCCCTCATGTAACGACATACTCCAGTTTCTCCCCTTTTCATAATGTACCCAAAAGAATGTAGACTGACTACTTCTGATAAGAGTAGTCATTTCTCTTCGTGAGGTAATCTCTGAGGTCATCGTCATTAAATACGTTTTTATCTGCTCATGATTTCCCCATCATTCCTCTGTAACAGTACATCTTTGCAGCTTCAAAGCAGCTAGTCACTTATTGAAATACTGCCCGAGATTCATTTTCGTTCATCACTGTTGCTGTGGATACCACCAGAGAGGTCACATGACAAAGTCCTTGTTGGGATTGGCTCCACCCTATAGGTTCCTCGACCCCATGGTGGGGGAGACGGAAAGGTGGGGGGGGGGGAGGGGTGGCAGAATAGACCAACTGAGACTTAACAAGCATGTCATAGAAGGCGACAGGTTAGGATTTGTTAAAATCTGATGTGTTGTGCCTTGCTGTAAATGACAACATCATGTGCTACCTGCCCTTTTAATGGTGAACACAGAAAAAGATTGGGGATCTACCTCTTCATTAAGCTGTAACATTTCATGACATGTGGCGTGCATTTTTATATATAATTCACCCATTTTCAGTACCAGCCTCACTGGCATCTTTGGAGTCAAGATACCAGATTGTTTACTGACATAAGAAATCTTTTCGTTTTATGCATGGTATTACTCTATCCTCACACACTTATAGACCAGTCGACACAGGATGAGTAATACTTCTGAATAACTTTACTTCTGATTCTGAATACATTTCATCTTTACCCAATTTAGACTGAGTGGACCTGGAAGCTCAGGTTAACTGGCTTTAGTGTGAATCACAAGACATGACCCCAGGACGCACCAGCGTGCGAGCGAAAGTGCTAGCTACTCCAGTACCACTGCTCTCGTTGAAGAGATTATTTGTCAGTATTAACTAAATATGTGTACTACTGCTCTGTTCAAGGGGCCGCTTTGAAGTATAGATTTATAGGACAGACTAGGCACTAACCCGTGAGAATATAGCTCGGATAATCACTAAAGCTTCAGTGACTGCCTCTATCTCATTTCTCAGACTTGATGTAGCATGATGTTATCAGGAACCACCCCCCCCCCCTCCCCCCCTTCCCCCCCTTTCCTCCCTCCCCTTTCCTTAAGCCACAACCCATCCTGCTACTGAATCTGATGCAAAAGCCATGCCAGGTTACATCTAATAGTGAAGTTAGGCGTAGTTTTACTGAGTATGTTGTGAAATATGAAATGCCCATGAAAGCATCTATGAGACTCTGATCATGTTCGTATTTTTTTTTTTTTTGAATCTATAGGGAGCAAGACTGAAGTACAGCAAGGAAGAGTATATGTCTATAAGCTACTCTGAGCAAGTGAAGAATGAATTGATGATGACTAAAAATTGATGATGCCCTTTTCTCATCATGTTTTACTGCGATAACCTGAGATAACTTTGTAAATAATAGACAACTTGCATCAGACATGCCATTTGCATTGTTGAGAAATAAGTAGACATACGTATGTTTAGATTGACATGTTTTAATGTTTATGCCATTCAGTGTCTGTCTAATGCATGACGGGGACGAGGTGGGATATCTACCGATACATGTGGCCAATCAGTCCGAAAATCGTAGCTTTAAAGTAACTATAAACGTGTGACAACATTGCTACAGGCGACGTGGCCTCATAGAAATTTGTCTAAACATTGTACAGGGCACAGTCCTGACGTCCTAGTCAACCTCCTCTCACGTAAGAAAGAGACCATTATGTTTAGACTGCTTACTGGACACGACAGACTCGACAATCATGTGTACAAGAAATTAAGAATTAAAGATTCATAACTTTGCCCATGTAGAGAGACACCATAGAATACTGAGCATGTGCTACATATATGCTCTTTACATGCAGTAGAGAGATCGCAGGTTAAGTCTGCTGGCATTCAATGGAAATCACACTATGTGAAACAGTGGAGGGAAGACATGCGTTGTACACAGACTTCACAAACGTCTGGTGCCTCGTCATCTGAAAAGCATCGATAGGAAGAATTAAAAAAAAATAAATATATAAGCTAAGCAAATGGTCTGTTGGTCAAGATAATATGAACATAGGCAGTATGATCTGTTCATTGACGATGAAGTGGAATAGCGTCCATGTGTCACTGAGATCATCAATGAAGAGTAAAAATAGTACTACTACAACCTATCATGCATGACGTTTTATGGCGATTAGGTAGCATCATTGTTATATGGCGTCATTTGCCAAGACCGCAAAAGTGATTAAATAGAGGCAGTTATTTCCAGTGTGTTTTTCCTTTTTAATTTACCTTATTGGGTAAAATACTTGAGCCGGAAAATCAGACCAATAGCTCGTTGCCTGCAAGTGGTTTTGCATTCATTGTTTTGGAGATATGTTCTCCATTGGGAGATACAAAGCAGAAGTAGACGAATCTTTAGAAATAGGATGGTTAACTTTGCCTTTTACATATCACTAATTGGTTATTGTCATTATGTTTTTGATCGTTTCTTGTGACAAGGTGTTCTTTGCACTTTCGAGTTGTCAATCTGTCAGTTTGTCCCTTCCAAGCTGCTACTTTTATGTTCATGATGCATAATTTTTTTTACAAACATTTGATGCTTCATTGATAACATACAATTGCAGTCTAAAAGATAAGTGTTTAGAAGGACGGGATATAAGATGGGCTGAATGTAAGACGGGCCAGGGTGACCAATTTGTTACCCTTTAAAAATAAACAGCGCATTCGTTCGTCCCTAAAGGTTTGCTATATCATCCAAAAGGGAAAAAAAGTGAAGTCTGGACGATAGAACAGCAAGGCAGATCTCAAACACCCCGTTCAACCCCCAAAGAAGTTTTAATCAAGGCACGCGTAACGACTGCACCGGCCAGCTGTAACCTGCAGTCATATGTGAGTAAGGCAGTGCTTTCGAGTTAGTGACTGATTGATTGGCACCTTTCCGTTTTTCAAGACGATAGTGCTATATTGCGTTATGAGGAAGTGTAACCCTAACCCTAGGCCACGGCGATGGCGAAAATGACTAGCAAAACCCATAGCGCAATGACTGTGCAGTATTGATGAGATAATATGTTGCCCATGCATCATAGCCCCTCACCCGATCTGCCTTGTTTACTACAAAGGAAAGGTAACACCAGGACGTTTGAAACAAAACAGGCTGCGGAAGCTGCTGGATCAGATGAGCAGTGCTCTGTGTGTCCACATGTGGGAGCTTCCCTCCTAAACCAGCTGCCTGCTAAGGGCCTGGTCTGCCCTGCCATAAGATAATGTTTTCAGCTTTCATTTCCTCTTTCTCTTAGGATAAGGCTAGTATTCTCCCTAATGCGTGCCTTTGCCCGAAGCCGCTGGCACAATATGGGATGTTAGGTTTGGTAATACGTAGCCAAACATTCGGCGTTAACAGAAGAATTGTGGTACCTGCTTCTATTATACGATAGCACAGTCATATCTAACTAAACCTGACAATCTTTCGAGCTAGTATTCATAGAATATATCGTCAAAAGAATTAAAACCTAAAGCTGAATTATTAATCAACATCATCGTGTAGGAGATTCCCTGTAGAATATGGCACACCAAAATGCCAGTCAGTCCCTTGCCAATTTCTCCTCCTCATGAGTGGGCATGAGCCCACGATGTCCCTAATTTGGTATCCATCGTTGCGCTAGTGAATCCCGTTCTCATATCCCAGGACTAAACCTTCCACTGATGTTCTCTCCAAACCAAAATGGCGTCTAAAATGACCTAAATATTTCAGTTTCCAAGAAGCAATACTATATCTCCTTTATGTTCAGATCCTAAAGAATGTCAATATTGTCCTGTTTTGGGGCCATATTGAGTATTTTCGGATGCCTAATGTTAAACTAATATCCTTATCTATTCTGTTATGTACATGATTTAATTATGTAGATGATTGTTTACTACATTTCTGTCTGTAATTCCGAATAATTTCATGTAGTTTGTTAATCAATAAAATGTATACATTTAGTTTCAAAGTGTTGGAATTGACTCTGATGACACAATCTCTTTGTAAACATTTCGATAAAATAAGTAAGCGAGTACGCAACATTTAAAGAAATTTATGTTTCAAAAGTTTATTCAAACAAACATTTCACAGGTTGAAGTTTCGATGGGAAAAAAAATTTGGTTACTCTGATTTTATACACCAGTTGTTTGAGTGTGGCCTTAAGTCGACCCCATTCGGGATGCTATGGTATTCTATCATTCATCCCCATGTGGGATCCCATTTTTCGTTTTTTGAAGCCCTACCCTGGCTTCTGCTGAGCCCCTAATGAAGCCAGGGCAAACCTCAATTAAGTAACAACCAGTTTGGATTTAGAAAAGGTAAGAGCTGCACTGATGCAATATTTACTCTTAGGCAAATTTGTGAACAGACAATCGAATATAATAAACACCAGAATCTTATATTCATTGATCAAGAGAAGGCTTTTGACAGGGTTAACAGAAATAAACTATGGAACATTCTTGAAGAATATGGTGTACCGGGTCAATTATTGGGAAACATAATGGCTCTCTATCAAAATAGCCAGAGCGCTGTAAGAACAACGGAAGGTATGACAGACTGGTTCCCCATTACATCAGAAGTACGACAAGGATGTGTCCTATCACCCCTACTTTTCATCACATATATGGATAAAATTGCACAGGAGTCAAACCAAAACACAGATATTATAAATGAACTTCGCTTTGCAGATGACCAATGTTTGTTACAAGAAGAAGAACAAAAACTACAACAACATGTTGATTCATTGCTCACTAACTGTACAAAATTTGACATGAAAATAAACACCTCAAAAACTGAAGTAATGACCATAGGAAAGAAACACAGTAATGTAAACATAAAGATCAATGACATACAATTAGAAGAAGTTCAAGAATTCAAGTACTTAGGATGCATATTTACAGAAGATGGAAGACTCGATAAACAGATACAGGCTAGAGTTCAAAAAGCCAATGCAGTCAACTACCAACTGGCCCCACTTCTTCGTCATCCGAAGATCTCGTTACCAGCCAAACAACGGATGATCAACAGCATTTTCATCCCTACGTTATGTTATCAGTGCCAAACGTGGACAATGAACAAATCACATATGCAAAAAATAACTACATGTGAAATGCGATGTCTCCGAAGAGTCACCAACAATACACGAAGAGACAGAGTCACAAACGTCAGCATTAGAGGCTATAAGGCCTTTTACAATAGAACATCGTGAAGAAAGGCCAGAGGAAGACCCAGGAAAAAATGGATAGATGGAGTAGCTGAATACGGCCAGAAGATCCAGAAAACTGTCACTCAAATCACGCGAGAGGCACAAAACAAATATTTTAAACCACGACACTGGGCTGCAACCCGGTAAAAGTGAAGAAGACAACAGACAGACAGACAGACAGACAGACAGACAGACAGACAGACAGACAGACAGACAGACAGACAGACAGACAGACAGACAGACAGACAGACAGACAGACAGACAGACGGACGGACGGACGGACGGACGGACGGACGGACGGACGGACGGACGGACGGACGGACGGACGGACGGACGGACGGACGGACGGACGGACGGACGGACGGACGGACGGACGGACGGACGGACGGACGGACGGACGGACGGACGGACGGACGGACGGACGGACGGACGGACGCGCAGACGCGCAGACGCGCAGACGCGCAGAGGCGCAGAGGCGCAGAGGCGCAGAGGCGCAGAGGCGCAGAGAGGCAGAGAGGCAGAGAGGCAGAGAGGCAGACAGGCAGACAGGCAGACAGGCAGACAGGCAGACAGACAGACAGGACAAATATATATATATATATATATATATATATATATATATATATATATATATATATATATATATATGGCCTAACGGCTAAAAGGGGTTTCTGAGACCTCTCCACGCGTGATCCTCATCCACATGGTGGGACTTTGTGTCACCGGGTGTTTATCGCTTGTGTGATGTCATAGTTGGGTACAACTACCAACCAACCACCAACAACAATTGTTTCGTTACTGTCCCCTCCCTCTCCGGATGTTTTCGAGAGCCCTACACCAAAACATGGGTTGAATGTGGGAATCTGGGACCTGTCTCAGGTAATCCGCATCCGACATATGGCACTGTGTATCACTGGATGTTAGTCGCTCCTTGTGTCGTTTTCTTGACACAACAATCTCGCCACCATCTTATGGGATGCAACTAAAAAGGCGACCCCTGAAGTGAAAGGGATTTTTGCTATAAGCTTTTAATATTATATAATGAGTTTTAATAAATATCTTAATTTTTAAATATATCTAAGGCAAACGACTTAAGCAAATCTTATAAGCGGAAAGGCCGCCATCGTGAGGGAAAATACCAACCGGT